TCACCAATGGGTAATGTTTGGATGGATTTTAGGAACTTCCCTCTTGATTCTATTGGCTCTAACAGTTAAAAAGAGATGTCAATCACCAAAATTGACCAAGGGGGGCCAGAGATATGGAAAATCCACCCAAATGACCCCAGAAGTGGTTTATTTTTTCTAAATCTCTCTAAAAAAGCCAAATGTCACTTATTTTGCATCAATCTTGATACAGGGTACTTATTATATGTTACAGTTTGGATTCCTAAAGCTTTTAGTCTACTATCCCATCATCCAAGGGTGGTTTTCACTATAAGGAATGTTTTCTTTCTGGACGGACACAATCATTTACATGTTTTTACTATGTTCAATCTGAATTTACTTTAAAATAAAAACATCTATAAAAATTCTGACACTTCTACATCCAACTCACAGGTTCATCATTGCTTTGAGAAAAAAGATGATTAAATTACCCCCTTTAGAAGTGAAGATATATTCATTTGTTCTGGGAATGTCATTTTCGAGCCTGAGACCTGAAAAACAGGCTCGGGGCTTAAGAGGTTAAAGGTACCCCATGTTTTGAATGTTTAAAAAATAATAATAAAATGTGTCTGAAAATACATATCACAGTAACGATAATCAGACGTATAATACGCAAAGAGAAATTGCTGAAAGAAATGTAAAAAGGTTAAAAATAAAAAACAAATTTCACTTAAATAAATTAGACATTTTAACTGTTACCCATAAATCAAAAAATCCATAACAAGAATTCCATGTATTTAGCTTTGTCTTGATATTTTTATTTGAGAATATTAGTATTGTGTGCACCATAAAAACGTTTTGCACTTTAAGTGGCCTTCCACCTTATTTTTAGGACCAATTTAACACAATTTATATGTTTTTGTCCTTATGATTATGTCATCTTTTAGCAATCTCTGAAACAGGAAATGCACTTTACTGCTTTTAATAATCTTATCATATCATAATATTCCCTTTGTCACGGATTTAACGACACAGTTCATCTATCATGTATATTTTATTCTATGTTTTTATTGTGTTTGTAGCACTTCTTAACACGTGGTCATTTTGCGTCTTCTCCCCCAGATCAGTGAGTTTGGACAAATGTCGAGACTGCACCGTTGTTCTTGGTCCCGTTGAGACCAGCGTTCACATCCACAGCTGCCAGAACCTGCGTGTGATGTGTGTGTCGGGCCGGATCGCCATCGGGGTCTCCTCGCGTTGCACCATCCACACTTTGACCCCCACTCGACCTTTGCTCCTCCCAGGAAACACAGACATTACTCTGGGGCCTTTCCACACCTTCTACCCCTCCCTGGAGGATCACATGGGCAGCGTGGGGCTCGCTGTGGTCCCAAACGCCTGGGATAGACCCTTACTTGTGGGTACAGAGGGGCTTTATAACCCCTCACTCAACTCCTCGTCCAACCCGGCCCCTCTCTGTTACCGCCTGCTACCTCCAGCTGAGTTTAACACCGTTGTGGTGCCTTTCGAGATGGAGGGCGACACGTGCGAGGTGCCGGGGGGGCTACCTCCTCTGTACCAGGCGGCGGTGGAAGAGAAGGAGAAGAGGATCCAGAACTGGCAGAAAACGGTGTTGGAGACCCCGCTCAACAAGTGAGTAGCAAATCAGGAACTTCTTTATTAACAAGTGGAATCATTTAAGACGGTCTACTTTAAAGAGTCCTCTCCTGCTGATGTTCAGGTGTATATCAGTATGTAGTGTCTCTACTTTAAAGAGTCCTCTCCTGCTGATGTTCAGGTGTATATCAGTATGTAGTGTCTCTACTTTAAAGAGTCCTCTCT